GGTGGTGGGCCTCAGAGAGGTTCACTGTATTCATTGTAAAGGGGAGGGGGCAGCTTTCTGCAACAATCCAGGGTCTGGACACCCGTCCAAGATTTCACCTACTTGTTGCCCACAAGAACAGGCTGTGAACACCTCTCTCCCTTTCTTCCCTGTGTGCAGGAGGGAAGGCAGCACACAGCTAGAACTTGTAAACTTAAAATAACAATTCTTGAAGAGAAACGAGTGAAAAAAAAAAAAAAGAAATCTTTATTTCAATCTCTCAGAAGCACTCTTTTTTTTTTTCCCACTGAGAATTTGTTGGATTTATTTAATGTGCAGACAGGGTTTGTCTCCCTCTGGATGAGTAGAAAGGTAGCACACAAACAGGTAAGAAAAGGTGCCAGGAAAGGAAGGTGGACAGTCTGTGTGCATGTAGGGGTGATACCAGCTTCCATCCTCCAACCTTCAGGGGTCTGAGCTTCTCCCAGAGCCTTTGCTGGGACTGGATATGAGAAAAATGTCTTACACTAAGGGTGGTGAGGCAATGGCACAGGTTGCACAGAGTGGTGGTGGTGCCCCATCCCTGCAGACAGCCAAGGACAGGCTGGATGGGCTCTGAGCACTGGGTGTCCCTGTTCAGTGCAGGGAGCAAGACAGATGGCCTTTAAGGGTAGCTTCCAACTCAAACCATTCTATGATTCTGTGGTTCCCTGTGTGGGAGGTTCAGGGGAGGGAAGTGGGGTTAGGATGCTCAGAGCAGAGGGGAGGGCATGTTCAGATTCACCCCCTCTGCCAGACGTGAGTGGAGTTCAATGAGCTGGGGGAGCACAAGTGATAAAAATAAACCTTGCTGGGAGGATGAGACAAAGGATTGGCAACAATGGATTTGCAAGCAATGGGCAGGAGCTCATTGATGCACAAAAGCGACCTTCAGGCTGCTTTTGTTTTAGGCCAGCTTAGTGTCCCCGAAGCTTACAGCCCTCAAACTTCACGACTTGCAGAGGACAAAGGAAAGGAAATGTGTATTAAGCAAACAGCTTTTATTGGCTGCTAAAGGGGGACCTTTACAGGTCCTTCACAGCAGAAGACACACAGAGGACGGACCCTCCTCCGCAAGTGTTCCGGCTGTGCTGAACCCCAGCTCCTTGTGAAGACGTGAACTGCCCTCCGCCTCGTTCAGACACAGGAAACTCCAGGAAAAGTCATCGAAAGTTTAGGTCCGGCAAGAAGCAACCTTTGGTGCTTTGCACCGGTAGAGAAGGTTCTTAATTTTGTATTTACATAAACAATTAGTGGGCAACCAGCAGAATGCACTGGTTAAGGCAGGAAAGAGAAAATAAATAAATAAATAAGAGGGGCGGGTCGATAGATGCAATTTTAGATTCGTAACTGCTGGGGGAACGTTTTTAGGTCAAACTCGAGGTGAATGAACTCTGTAAGTCCAGGAAGTTGCTCTCACAGAGAGGAGAGGAGAGGAGAGGAGAGGAGAGGAGAGGAGAGGAGAGGAGAGGAGAGAGAGGAGAGGAGAGGAGAGAGAGGAGAGGAGAGGAGAGGAGAGGAGAGGAGAGGAGAGGGAGAGGAGAGAGAGAGGAGAGGAGAGGAGAGGAGAGGAGAGGAGAGGAGAGGAGAGGAGAGGAGAGGAGAGGAGAGGAGAGGAGAGGAGAGGAGAGGAGAGGAGAGGAGAGGAGAGGAGAGGAGAGGAGAGGAGAGGAGAGGAGAGGAGAGGAGAGGAGAGGAGAGGAGAGGAGAGGAGAGGAGAGGAGAGGAGAGGAGAGAGGAGAGGAGAGGAGAGGAGAGGAGAGGAGAGGAGAGGAGAGGAGAGGAGAGGAGAGGAGAGGAGAGGAGAGGAGAAAAAAGAAAAGAAGAAAAGAAAAGAAAAGAAAAGAAAAGAAAAGAAAAGAAAAGAAAAGAAAAGAAAAGAAAAGAAAAGAAAAGAAAAGAAAAGAAAAGAAAAGAAAAGAAAAGAAAAGAAAAGAAAAGAAAAGAAAAGAAAAGAAAAGAAAAGAAAAGAAAAGAAAAGAAAAGAAAAGAAAAGAAAGAAAAGAAAAGAAAAGAAAAGAAAAGAAAAGAAAAGAAAAGAAAAGAAAAGAAAAACAAGCTACTGAAAACTGGAAACAGAAGCAAACTTTGATAAACAACACTCCCAGCCACAATGAAACTCAGTGCGAAGTCTGTCAGCTCCGACCATGAGCTTATGGCACTGGTTGGACAACCAGAGAGATCCCAATTAACTTTCCTGAAAGAATTTCTTAGAGAGCGATTAATAAGTGCTTTGCAGTTTGACTCATGTTATTAATTGGATTGGGGAGGAGTTAAAAGCACAAACGGTCTATATGATTTTTTAGGGTCTGTAAGCGAAGCTAACAGATGGAACTGACCAGTAACGTGCATCTGGCAAGCCGGGTTTCTTATAAACTTTCCTCCAAACAAAACCAGTTTGAGGGCTTTGTTGTTGTTTGAAGCGAAGTTGGGGCTCCGAG